ATCAATTATTCTCTATCATTTAGTATATCTTGATACTTCAGAATACAGCAAATCCGTATAATATTTGAATTTAAAAATAGCTGTTAGCTTCAAAGCCCGACAATTGATAAGTTGATTGACTTACCTGTAAGGAAGATCAACTTTAATTTTGCGAGCTTTTTCTTCCTCGGTAATTACACACGTAACTGTTTAAAAAAGATGTGCGATTTGAATATCTTGTGATGAATCTTCAAACTAGAAATACATTCTTGATGCGCCACTGGTACTACCGTGGAGCCAAGGGACAAGGATTGCGGGCGGTGGTGTCGGACGAGAGGCGCGGGTAGAGGAGAACGCAAAAAAAGAGAAGAGCGTGGTTTTTACGACCGATGTGCGAGGTATTTTTGGACAGAATATTTTGGAAAGGAAAATAGAGTACATGATTATTGATCCCGGACGTTTTATTCTTGACAAATCAGAAGTGGAATTATTCACGTGCCGTACAAGTTCTACAAGTGAGTGATTCAAAATGGAAGACGAGTTCATCCTCTAGCTCTCAGTCCAGTTCAAGTTCTTCGACGGACGATGGAAGGAGACATCGTAGGCGAGTAAAACGTTTACGAAAAGAACTCAAATTCAAAAACAAGTTGTTAGAGAAGCAACCTGTAAGTACTGCATACAGTAGTTTAAATATCGATGAATTGCTAATACCTGAGTTTAACCCCTCAAATAGACAATGTATAGACTGGGTCAACAAGGTTGATCAGTTGCGTGAGTTATACCAGTGGGATGACCAATTGACAATTAAATTAGCAACAAGCAGACTTCGTGGAAATGCTCGGAAATGGTATGATTCGTTAAGGAGAAAAGTAAATCTAGAGAGAAAAAAGTACGAGAAGTGAGAGAAATCAAGAAACACGAAACCAAAAATAACTCTGTAGTAAAACATGAAACATTCAAAGTAAAGCGTGAACGAAAAACAAAACCTAATGTTAAAGAGAATAAACGTGGCAGAAAACCAAAGTCTGCTTTAGAAAGCATAAATGAAAAAATCAAGAGAAGAAAAAACCAAAGACTCCAATTGAATACATGGACACTGATATAGCAGAAGAAGGACAAAAGAACAAACCAAAAAAGAGGAAACTGGATTCAGCCTTTACTACTACTCGTACTTCATTGAATGATGAAAAAGTGAAAAAAAGAAAAATAGATTTGGATGATCCAATTATAATTCCTGAGAAAAAATGCAATACAAAACGTAAGAGAGAATCTGATAATGAAGAAAACGAACAACAACAACGCAAGTTAGATATAAGTGACGTAATTCCACATCCATGGAAACAAAAAAATAGAAAACGGAAGATTCAACCAGATAATGATAATGATCGTGATAATGATGATGATGATGATGATAGTAACATACCTAGGAAAGTTAAAGTTATAAATACCTAGTAATCTACACATCCAAATTCAGTAATGAAAATGGTACGTAAGAAGAATGTCAGTCCTAAGAAAAGAGCTACAATTGACCGACAACAACAACAACAACAACGATCACAGCATCAGAAAAAAAAAATAAAGACTAAGAGGAAAACGAAAAGTATATCGAGCAGTAAAATAAAAAGAAGGAAAGTTAGCTTTTCTAGCGCAATTAAACAAATAGGGAAACGTGTGGTAGATCAAAAACCTACTACCTTTGGAGAAGCAATACTTGTAGCGTTGAGGGAGGCACAAAATTTGAAAAAAGGTGTAAAAAAGCCGCCAAATCGTATAGTGAAGATACCGAAGAAAGGAGGTATACTACCACTAATCCCAATTTTTGCTGGCCTATCAGCCCTTGGTGCTTTGTCTGGTGGTGCTGCTGGTATTGCTAAGGCTGTCAATGATGCAAAATCCGCAAAGCAGCAATTACAAGAATCTCAACGTCATAATAAAATGATGGAAGCTGTAGCACTTGGAAAGGGAATGTTTTTGAAACCCTATAAAACGGGAATGGGCCTTTTCCTGAAACCATACATTAATTAAAACCAGTAGTGAGATAAGGGAAAATGTCACTGAAAAAAACAAAACAAGTGGCTAAAGTTTCAATTCCAAATGGTCACCCATTAACAAACGTTGAGCTGGAAAGGTATGCAAAACGTTTAAAAATACCGTATTTTCGAGGAGTCTTCATGCGAGATAAACTTCCAAAAAAAATAAAAACCAATGAAAGAGGAATTATGAATTTGGATACATCTACGGGACCAGGTACCCACTGGACTGCTTATAAGAAAGAGGGAAACTTAGTGGTTTACCTGGATACATATGGAAACTTAGAACCACCATTCGAAGCAATTGTATATTTTAATTCTAGTGGACCCTGTAGAGTACAGTACAATTGTAATGTATTTCAAAGATTTAATACTGTAACTTGTGGTCAATTGTGTTTACGTTTTCTCAAAAGTGAATAAATACTGCTTACCATAATGACACTTGTTTATTTCATGTATGGCTATTCATCGGTTCATATCTGTATGATGTATACGTTTACTTTATCTGCTAGAGAGTCTGTGTTATCAGCTAAAATCTATCCACCTATAGTACTCGACAGTAGTAAAACGTATGCTTTAGGACTTATTGATTTTTTAACTTTCAACAATACCCAACATAGATATAACAAATAAAAAGTTCCATATTGATGATGAGGTTTTAACAGTTCCCGAAGGTAGTTATGAAATAAAAGACATTATAGCATTTCTTAACGAGAGAATAAAACCAAGGGTAAGTGAAATTAAAAAAAGAAACCACAGAAACGATCTTCTCTAAATTCAAATGCAATTACCAAAGATGATGAGAAACAAACTGACATACAACTCCATATGCGAAGTAATTTAAATACCTTACGGTTTGAAATTAAAAGCAACCGACTAATTGATTTTGAGCAAAATGGTACAATAGGTGAGTTATTAGGGTTTAGAAAGAGGAAATTAAGTCCACACAAACTACACATCTCAGATTTTCCTGTAAATGTTTCCAAAGTGAACTCTATATGTGTGGAATGTAATCTGATAACGGATTCTTTTAGAAATGATCATGCTGTTCACACGTTGCATATGTTTTACCCTAACGTGCCTAGTGGATATCGCATAATAGAAAAAGTATCAAATGTCATCTATTTACCAATAAATAGCCATTATATTGATGAAATAGTGCTTAAAGTAGTGGATCAAGACGGAAATTTGGTTAATTTCAAAGGAGAAGTGATAACGATAAGAGTACATTTGAGGGAGCTTTAGTATGGTATTCTTTTACAATATTGCAGTACCGTTTAGTTCAGCTAACAACAATAGCACCAACAACAGAAATTTTAAAGGTCAAAACAGATCAACACCTATTGATAAAGAGATTCATGTTGGTAAAACAGTTAGTAGCAAACAAGAGAGCAAGACATTAACATCTGAAAATATACAATTTCTACAGTTGCTTGGCTTTAAGGTGATTGCATAAGTGTGGCTAACGAATTTCAAGAACAAACAGTCAATAGTGACATTAATAGTAGCAACAGCAGCAGCAGGACTGCCGGATTGATATTACGCATAAAACTAGCAATTTATTCTGAACTACAAAAGTTATTCATCCATCTCAAGTGTAGCTGTTTGATAAAACAAAGAAAAAAAGATGAGCTTTAATATTCTCAACATAGGTGAAAATATTCTTATGGATAATTCAATTACCAATTGTGAAATGCATAGCCATCCACCATACGCTAATACAACTTTCAACAATTCAGATGAAATAAGAATACCAATACAAACACAAGATATCTATACACTACCTTGTAATAGCTCACTGTACATTGAAGGAAGATTAGTAGAGGCAAAGGAGAAGAAATGGTCACCAACATTACGCCTCGTAAATAATTTTGTATCATTTTTATTTGATGAATTGCGATATGAAATTGGAGGTATAGTTGTTGATAGAGTTCGCAATCCTGGTATAACAACCACCATTAAAGGACTGGTATCTTTCACAAACAATGAAGGTAATAGTTACCAACATGCAGGCTGGAATAATCAAGACTTACCCGAAATACGGAACAGTGAAGGTTATTTTAGTGTAACGATTCCACTGAAAAATCTCATGGGTTTTTTTGAAGACTTTAAAAAAGTACTAATCAACATCAGACAGGAATTGGTCCTTATAAGAAGCTCCACAGATGTGAATGCAATTATAACTTCAACATCTAGCGAGAAACCTCATTTAGATCTGTACAGAATACTATGGAGAATTCCACACATTCAAGTTGCTGATATCGAAAAATTACACCTTATGAAGTACATAGAGAAAGGAAGAGATTTACAACTAGCATTCCGGAGTTGGGAGTTGCATGAGTACCCCGTTTTACAACAGACAAATAAACATACATGGAATGTCAAGGCTACCAATCAATTGGAAAAACCACGTTTCGTTATTGTTGCTTTTCAAACTGATCGGAAAGGACAGCTGACTAAAAACTTGAGTCACTTTGATCACTGTAACCTGAGCAACATCAAATTATTTTTGAATTCTGAAATTTATCCATATGACAATGTAACTTTTAATATGAGCAGAAATTATTTTAGTATCTTGTATGAAATGTATGTGAACTTTCAGCAGTCTTATTATTATAGAAATTCCAGTGAGCCGTGTCAAAACTTGAAACAGTTCATTGATGCAACCCCGCTTTTTGTTATTGACTGTAGTAGGCAAAACGAGACACTAAAATCGGGTTCTGTTGATATTAGATTGGAATTTGAAACGGCAGTAAATATACCACCTAATACTACTGCCTTTTGTCTGATATTACATGATCGTCTTGTAAAATATAATCCATTAAATAGTACTGTAAAAGTTTTTTGAAAAATATGTTGAACTTGTATTGTATAGAAACAGTGTGTATGTGTGTATGTATGTATGTGTGTGTGTGTGTGTGTGTGTGTGTGTGTGTGTGTGTGTGTTTTTCTGTGAATAAAACATTAGTTGTGAAGAAATCAGTTTTTTATTCAAAATATATTTTGTGACAATAACAATATGTCATCATCATCATTATCACCACCACCAACACCACCACCACCACCACGTCTACCAGTTGAGGTTGATGCTGCTGATGATGGTGTTGCACCAACCGTATGCATCTGCCTGGGCTGCTCCTCATGCTCTTCCTCCTTCTCCTCCTCATCCTCCTCATCCTCTTCCACATGTTGCAGGACAGGTGGCTCTAGATACAATTTTCTCTTCTTCTGCATACTTCCACCACCATCACCACCACCACTTTTCCCTGGTCGATCCTTTATCGCTTGCTGCCTATTAATATCTTCTAACTGCTCGTCTAATAAATTAAATCTATATTTTTTTAACTATTCGTTCTAATACTGGGAATTCTGCATCTTTATCCAATTTAGTTCGAAGATATTTCATAGGCAGCAAGCCGAATTTCCGCTTTAACGTCGCTGCTCTTGGGGAGTAGGTCAATTTGACAAATATTTTGTCACCACTGGCTTTGATCTCTCTGACACCGTATCTGTTGAAAAAAGAAAAAAGAATAAGAATAATATAATATGTGTATCTCAGACCTAAAAGTAAACTATTGTCGAATATCTGATTTAAATCTCCAATTGCAAATCGTGCAATTGCAATCAAATAAAACCATACAAAAAAAACCCTGTAAACTCATGTTTTTCTCGCAATAATACTTTTGTGACTTAACATAATTTAGCTCTGAGGATATGATGAATAGAACTTGATATCTACTGGCAGACCAGGTGATTGTTTTATTTCTTTTGGGATGCTTTAGAGTGTCTTCAAACATGATCCATCCATCCACAACATTACCATAATGTGCGGAAGGACAACAATAATAATAACACAATAGCAATAGCAAAACAGTGGAGAGAGAGAGAACAAAAGATAAATATATAATGTTACTTACTGAAATAATTCCTTTATGACCAACAAGTGGTCATTTATCGGTAAATTCACTGGATCTTCCGTGAACACAATTATGGTTGTTGGTGTTGTTGCCATTGTAAGTTAGAGTAGCAGTTCGATGAGTTTTCACTTGAAACTGATACTGACTGCCTACACACACTAGCAATTTATACAGATATTTGAGGAAAAAATCATCCATATCAACTGCATAGAAATGTAAGATGGATGTTATGATCAAACAAAATCGTAGGATTCCAGAATTGCATGATACCCAATGTCAGGAGAAGGACGACGACGGTAATCATCATCTACGTCATTCTCCATATCAAGGGAAAAATTAGATTTTTCTGCATGTGTGCATGTTTTTCCAAACAAAATTGATATCCAATGTCAGGACGAGGACGACGACGGTAATCATCATCTACGTCATTCTCCATATCAAGGGAAAAATTAGATTGTTCTGCAGATGTGCATGTTTATCCAAACAAAATATAGTATCTATTTAAGGTCAGGAGGAGGAGGGTCATCATCGTTATTCTCCATGTGATCTGCTGATGTGCGTAGGAAGTTTTCCAAACAAAATCGTATGATTCAGTATCAGTGAAAAAAAATAGATTTTCACAGTATTTAAGCCAGCATCTTGAGCACAGTTATCATCAGTGATCTCACGTTTAACCATCTGCACAGATCTCCGAAGAAACAAAATGAGTAGCCAAAAAGTAATCGATGCCATGTCTGACGAATTTGTTAGAAGAATAGAAATGGTGAGTAGATTAGTTAGGACAAAAACAGATTACAATTTTTATAGTAAAGAGATTAAAAAATGTATTAGAATGCTTGATAATTGTATCAAACATAGGTATGATTGTGTTAAAAATTTTTCAAAAATAGAGTCTAATTTGTCACTTCTTAAGAGTTACCTTGCAATTTTCAGATGTCAAATAAATCGTAAAAACAAAAATAGAGAACTTGTTTGGGAAAATGTGGATTCATGCTTTAACAATAGAATTAAGTCAGGCGTTATAGTTAATTTGAAAATAAAAGATCCAAAATTATTTTTCAAGAGAGCGTTCAAAAGTTTTGCGATACAAATAAGAAAACAGCTTGATACTTGTATGTTAAAATGTAACGTTGTTTTTTATAGTGTGTTCATTAAACCTCAGACTGCTGAAAGATCGATCAAACATTTTGCTACAAAAAATAATATAATCGATAAAAATACCAATTTAAAAGAGTGGTATAAAGTTTATGTCACTGATCAAGTTTTAACAAAATTAGAAGAATTCCAAGAACGTGATTCTGGATGGGCTTTGTTGGAAATTTTACATTTGAAAGTGAATATTAATAGATTTTGTCCTATAAATGTTGGTGTTTCAACTTATGTTCCTACACCAACATTTATAAAAAAGAAAAAAAGTGTCATCAGTATTCAAAATAATGATAATTACTGCTTTCTGTGGTCAGTTGTAAGCGCGTTGTATCCTGCAGAAAAAAATGTAGCACGACAATCATCATATCCTCATTTCAGTAGAATATTGAAATACGACAATATTAGATTTCCTATACATTTGAAAGATATACCCAAATTTGAGATTATGAACAAACTAGGGATAAATGTCTTCACACTCGTAGGCAATCGAATGAATGAAGTTGTACCATTGATACTTAGTAAAACTAATTTCACGCCTAAAATCAATTTACTTATGTTTTCCAATAATGATGTTTGCAATTGGAATGCTGACACTATTTATCATTTTGCGTATATAAAAAATTTGTCACGCCTAATATGTAGACAAATAGGTTGGAAAGATCACAAAAAATGGATTTGTGAAAGGTGTCTAAATTATTTTTCAAGTGAAGCTTATTTGAGTAAGCATTCTGAAGATTGTAAACAGCTTAACAGCACTAAGATCGTTATGCCTAATGCAACTAATAATATTATGAAATTTAAAAACTTTCACAATAAATTATGTGTTCCTTTTACCATTTATGCAGATATTGAAAGTATACTAATGGATTATAATGATAATGCTGATGATAATAGTGCAAGCAAGACACAAAAGTGTCAAAAGCACGTGGCTTTCAGCGTAGCTTATTATCTTAAGTCGAATTATGGAAATAAATATTCTTCCAAGTTTAGATTGCATACGGGTGCTGATTGTCAAAGTTGGTTTGTTAATGAATTGCTCAACATTGCCAATGAACTTCATAAAGTTTATCAGGAAGCAGAACCATTAAAACTGACCAGTGTTGAGCAGAAACTTTTCCGATTGGCTTCCAGTTGTAGTATTTGTGAGAGACCTTTTGACGAACACGAAGTGAAAGCTAGAGATCATTGTCACTTCACAGGTAAATATAGAGGAGCAGTACATATGTCTTGCAACTTGAACTATTCAAATTCACTTATTGTACCTGTGTTGTTCCACAATTTTTCTGGATACGATGCACATTTCATAATCAAAGCTCTCAGCACTGATATCAAGGGCAATCTCACTTTATTACCTTTAAATAAAGAGCGTTATATTTCGTTTACAAAATCCATTGCCGGTACTAAAATCAGTTTTCGATTTCTTGATTCCTTCCGGTTCCTACCTAGTAGTCTGGATAAATTATCATCATATCTAGATCATCATCAAAAGAAAATAGTAAGGGAACATTTTCCTGAAGATGCTAAGTTTAAGTTGGTAACAAAGAATGGGGTTTTTCCTTACGAATATCTAAATTCATGGGAGAAATTAAAAGATACAAAGTTGCCAGAAAAAGACGATTTTTTTAGCACAGTCAAAAACGAAGCTATTTTGACTGATGACTATCAGCATGCACTAAATGTTTGGCAGGCATTTACCATTAAAGATCTTCAGGAATACGCTGAATTATACTTAAAAACTGATGTTTTGCTGCTTTGTGATGTTTTCGAAAATTTCCGTCAAATGTGTATGCAGACATACAATTTAGATGCATTGCACTATTATACTACGCCAGGTCTAGCCTTTGATGCTATGCTTAAAGTCACTAATGTTGAAATAGAGCTGTTGACTGACAGTGATATGGCTAAAGGTATCAGAGGAGGTATATCTCAATGTTCTAACAGGTACGGTAAGGCTAACAATAAATATATGAATAGTGAATTTAATCCTGATTTACCAACTTCGTTTTTGATGTACTACGATATAAATAACTTATATGGAGCTGCAATGTCACATTCTCTACCATATGGGGATTTTCAATGGATTCCAATTGAAAACATCTCTATTGAAAATATTTTGAGCGATGAGAAAAATGAATATGGGTACATCCTAGAAGTTGATCTACATTATCCTCTTCATTTACGCGATCTACACAAAGATCTGCCAATATGTCCTGAGCATTTAGTACCACCTACTTCGTATTCTGATAAACCAAAATTGTTAACAACTTTGTACGATAAACAAAAGTATGTCGTCCATTATACATTACTAAAACAAGCTACGCAACTGGGTATTGTCATCAGAAAAGTTCATCGTTGTTTGAGATTCAAACAGTCCGCTTGGTTAAAAAAATACATTGATCTCAATACAGAGCTGAGAAAGCAAAGTAAGAATGATTTCGAGAAAATTTTTTTCAAATTAATGAATAATTCCCCTTATGGCAAAACGATTGAAAATGTTAGGAAATATAAAGACATCAAGTTGGTAACTAAGTGGTCAGGAAGATATGGTGCAAGTTACTACATTGCACAACCTAACTTTCCTAGCTGCACTATATTTAGTAAAGATATGGTCATAATTGAAATGAACAGACTGAAAGCTACATTAAACAAACTAATTTTTATAGGTATGTCAATATTGGACATATCTAAAACTTATATATATGATTTTCATTACAATTACATAAAACACAAATTCAAAGATGATTCAAAATTGCTATATACTGATACAGATAGCTTAATATATCAGTTTTCAAATATTGATGACATTTACGAACACATCAAAAAAGACATTGATAGGTTTGATACATCCGATTATCCAGAAAATAACGCTTTTAGAATTCGATTGAAAAATAAAAAAGTCTTAGGTTTAATGAAGGATGAAAATCAAGGTCGAATAATGACACATTTTATTGGGTTGCGTTCAAAAATGTATGCTTTGAGACTTCTACCTGAGCCAGGTGAAAAAAAAGACTCACATGTTATTAAAAAAGCTAAAGGAATTCAGAAGTCAGCTCCGAAGGAAATAACGTTTGATGATTACCATAAATGTTTATTCCAAAATACTCAAGTAGCTTTAACCCAACAGTCCATAATTTCGAAATTGCATGATGTATTCACAATTTCCCAACAAAAAATTGCATTGAGTCCATATGACGATAAAAGAATTGTCAACTATATTTATACAGACACGAAACCATGGGAATTAATCTACAACCACGTTAACTTTAGCCACACACAATAAAATGTAAGTATATATATATATATGTATTCTTTTTTTTGTTTTTTGTAGAACGTGCTAAGTTCAAAAAAAAGATTTCAAAAAATCCACTACACGAAACCCAACAAACGAATACGACCAACGACTATTTCTAAGAGACAGTACAACAACAACAACAACAACACTCACTCAGGAACTCAGTTCTGTGACAATTGTGGACATTACTTTTGTTTTTGTAGAGAATCGGTGGCAAAGCATTCAATAGGACAAACGGCATCAGATCAACAACAACAACAACAACAACTACTACTACTACTACTACATCAATACAAACAAGTGGAGCTGTATTGCGACGAGGAACTGCCCAAGTCCTAAACCAACAACAACAACAACAACGACAAAGGACGACTAGAAAGGATGTCTGATGAGCGGTGGCGGCAAGAGAGCGGATGGATTCCTGGCAAATCTTTTTATTCGAGAAAAGGACCCCAAAGAAAGAGAAGTTGGACATACGCTATAGCACACGTCATCGAGGTGACCAGATGTGGTGTATGTGGAAAAATTATACATGAACGACCAGCGACCGCCGTAAATGGCTGGGAACCACAGAATGTATTTGTCAGATTTTGTCCTGTATGCTTTCAAGCGAGACCCGGCATCCAAGAAAAAAGAACAGATTGGGTAAAATATTAAAACAATAAATACGTCTTCAAAAAAATTGTTAAACAAAAAACAACATTAGATATTGACAACAATGATATATTCAAAGATAAGTCTATCAAAAAACATGGCGAGCTGTTTCCTTCAACGTTGCGATGTATTATAGTTGGACCTTCTAATTGCGGAAAAACAAATCTTATGATCAATTTAGTTGAACATGAAAACGGGTTAAAATTTGAAAATGTTTATGTGTATTCAAAGTCTTTGTATCAACCAAAATATACATATTTGGCAGAATTATTAACACCAATAAAAGGGATAAAATATTTTCCATTCAATGCTAGTGACAACATTTTACACCCTTCAGATGCCAAACCAAATTCCATATTTATTTTTGATGATGTCGCATGCGATAATCAAGATGTTATCAGAGAATATTTCAGCATGGGAAGACATAACAGTATAGAATCTTTCTACTTGTGTCAAACATATGCAAAAATATCTAAACTTCTAATAAGGGATAATGCCAATATCATTATACCTTTCAAGCAGGATGATTTAAACTTAAAACATATATATAATGATCATGTTGGTTCAGATATGTCATTTGATAATTTTAAACGTATATGCACTGTATGTTGGGAAAATTCATATGATTTTTTAGTCATATTTAAAGACTGTAACATTGACAACGGTCGATATTACGTAGAAAGGGTATAGATCATTTTATTTATATGGATAATTCTCATCCGATGCGTTCAGAACAGATCGACAACTGATGACAACCTGATCATCACCTGATCACAAGCCGTTCACCACCTGATCGAAGTCTAATTAGCACCTATGGGAAAACTTTTAACTGGAAGAAGTCTCAAAGAAAGACTTATATTGAAGCGTCAAAATGTTCGAAGAAAATTGTATCAACTGAAACATGGAGAAATGTTACAAGAAGCCTTGTACAATCCCATTACAAAACATTTGAGAAGTATCGAATCTAAACTTCAAAATAATACCAACACGGTACCTGGTACCTCACCACCACCACCACCACCAACATCACCACGTTCCTATACAGTAGCTGAAGCTGATATAAGGCCTGAAACAAAACTATTCGCATCTAATGAAGGGGGGCAGCATGGGAAACTCCTAAAGCTATGTCTGAAGCATGTAAAAGAAAACTATTATCATTTCAATCAGTGACACCAAGAACAAGGACAATCGCTAACAGTGAGGAAAACTCTTATTATGATGACGATGATCCACCAAGCAGCATAAAAAAATCAATCATAGACGGTATAAATTCTGATTATGAAGACAATGATTCGACTGGATCGGGTAATGATAATGTTGCTAATAGAAACAGATTTGATGATATTGCAGAAAAGTCATTTACTGAATACTTAGAACAATATGAGGACCCGTTACCTAGAAAATACATTAGTGAAGTGTATGCAGACAAAAATAATCGAGAATTTGATCATAAGTATGGCGTCAGGCTGGATGACACTATTGAACAATTTATGATTGGTGATTCTAAACTAGACTTCAATGGTGCTGATATATATGTGAAAGGTAAACGGTACAAGGGTAGTCAAGGCTTATACGAATTGTTATTTAGAAAATATCCCAACATGAATTTCTGCAGTTCTGACGATGTCAATACCTACAGGCAAATTGTATATAAAACTAATGCCCACAGAAAGTACTACAGATCTAATACTCAATTGGATGGGAGTAAACTACAAAAATATAAAAAAATCATAGCACCTCCTTTAAAAATGGGCCAAGGATTAATGAACAATAAAAATATTACCACGACAATGGAATATTCTAGCAATGATAAGGATTATATATACTGGGATGATCCTAATGAACTTGTAAGTCGTCTACGCTTATTGATTGCATCACAGGCTGCCGGTCACTCAGGTCATGGTAATGAGATTAATTCGCTAGTTGAGGAATTAAGGGAAAGTAAATATATTGAATAATGGTTAAAACACATAAAACGAACATAAAACGCCAAGTTGTTGAAGAACTACATAAGTCTGCACGCAGGAATTTCAAAAGAAGAAAAACCATTGTGAAATCTCTACACGATCTTTTCCAAGCAGATCTTGTAGAAATGATACCATACTCGAGGGAAAATAAAAACAATAAATATATACTGGTTGTGATAAATTGTTTTTCGAAATTTGTTTGGGCTTTACCTTTACAAAATAAAACAGGTAAAGTGGTAACAAAAGCTATGGAAAGTGTACTAAAACAAGAAACACCTAAGAATCTACAAACAGACGCTGGATTGGAATTTTTCAATAATGATTTTAAAAACCTAATGAAGAAATATAATATCAATCACTACAATACATTCAGCGAAAAGAAGGCAGCCATTGTCGAAAGAGTAAATCGAACTGTAAAAAATATGATGTGGAAAGAGTTCAGTCTGCAGGGAAATTATAAATGGATAAGTATTTTACCAAAACTGGTAGAACAATATAACAATAAGAAGCATAGAACTATTCAAATGAAACCAGCTGATGTCACAAAGAAGGATGAAAGAAGGCTGTTATCTACTGTATATAATCGCTTGAAAATTGTAAACTTGGAAACAAAATTCAAAGTAGGTGATCATGTACGCATTTCTAAAATAAGAGGTGTTTTTGACAAAAAATATCAACCAAATTGGTCACCTGAAATTTTCACAATACGAAAAGTAACATTAACTAATCCAATTACATATTTGTTGAAAGATGAAAAAAATCAACATATTTTAGGAGGCTTTTATACAGAACAACTACAAAAGGTAAAACATCCTGATGTTTATCTTATAGAAAAAATATTGGAAAAAAAAGGAGACCATATCAAAGTCAGATGGTTGGGATTCGATAAGAAACATGACAGCTGGATACATAAAAAGAATATTACCTAACAAATAATCTCAGTTCATATACAGTCTTCTTGTGCAGCGTTTGCATTCGACATTCAACAGACAAAAAAAAATGATCATTATCGACGTTCAAGGCTTTACTTGTGGATCCAACTTCATTTGCAAAGAAATTGCTATCATGGATACTGCAACGGGATACTGGCAACACAAATTAGTTAATCTACCTGCAGAATTTACAATGCTCAATAGTAGCACACAGTCACATATCAACTGGACTGTAAACAATTTAAAATAAAAAAATAAAAAATTTCTTAGGTTTAATGAAGGATGAAAATCAAGGTCGAATAATGACACATTTTATTGGGTTGCGTTCAAAAATGTATGCTTTGAGACTTCTACCTGAGCCAGGTGAAAAAAAAGACTCGCATGTTATTAAAAAAGCTAAAGGAATTCAGAAGTCAGCTCCGAAGGAAATAAAGTTTGATGATTACCATAAATGTTTATTCGAAAATACTCAAGTAGCTTTAACCCAACAGTCCATAATTTCGAAATTGCATGATGTATTCACAATTTCCCAACAAAAAATTGCATTGAGTCCATATGACGATAAAAGAATAGTCAACTATATTTATACAGACACGAAACCATGGGGATATCATGATTACTTTTAATTTCACTACATTTTATTATCTCTTTGTCTGTTTTTGTCCATAGAATTAATCTACAACCACGTTAACTTTAGCCACACACAATAAAATGTAAGTATATATATATGTATTCTTTTTTTTGTTTTTTGTAGAACGTGCTAAGTTCAAAAAAAAGATTTCAAAAAATCCACTTCACGAAACCCAACAAACGAATACGACCAACGACTATTTCTAAGAGACAGTACAACAACAACAACAACAACAACACTCACTCAGGAACTCAGTTCTGTGACAATTGTGGACATTACTTTTGTTTTTGTAGAGAATCGGTGGCAAAGCATTCAATAGGACAAACGGCATCAGATCAACAACAACAACAACAACAACAACAACAACAACTACTACTACTACTACATCAATACAAACAAGTGGAGCTGTATTGCGACGAGGAACTGCCCAAGTCCTAAACCAACAACAACAACAACAACGACAAAGGACGACTAGAAAGGATGTCTGATGAGCGGTGGCGGCAAGAGAGCGGATGGATTCCTGGCAAATCTTTTTATTCGAGAAAAGGACCCCAAAGAAAGAGAAGTTGGACATACGCTATAGCACACGTCATCGAGGTGACCAGATGTGGTGTATGTGGAAAAATTATACATGAACGACCAGCGACCGCCGCAAATGGCTGGGAACCACAGAATGTATTTGTCAGATTTTGTCCTGTATGCTTTCAAGCGAGACCCGGCATCCAAGAAAAAAGAACAGATTGGGTAAAATATTAAAACAATAAATACGTCTTCAAAAAAATATCCTTTCTTTATTTCTCCCCTTCCCTTCCCTCACTTTTCATCATTAAGAGATGGTTTGAAAAATGAATACATTCACGCGCTGTAATCAGTTTCATTGTTGCTGCAGTGCAGTACTATTTGAACAAGATGAAAATTGTTAAACAAAAAACAACATTAGATATTGACAACAATGATATATTCAAAGATAAGTCTATCAAAAAACATGGCGAGCTGTTTCCTTCAACGTTGCGATGTATTATAGTTGGACCTTCTAATTGCGGAAAAACAAATCTTATGATCAATTTAGTTGAACATGAAAACGGGTTAAAATTTGAAAATGTTTATGTGTATTCAAAGTCTTTGTATCAACCAAAATATACATATTTGGCAGAATTATTAACACCAATAAAAGGGATAAAATATTTTCCATTCAATGCTAGTGACAACATTTTACACCCTTCAGATGCCAAACCAAATTCCATATTTATTTTTGATGATGTCGCATGCGATAATCAAGATGTTATCAGAGAATATTTCAGCATGGGAAGACATAACAGTATAGATTCTTTCTACTTGTGTCAAACATATGCAAAAATACCTAAACATCTAATAAGGGATAATGCCAATATCATTATACCTTTCAAGCAGGATGATTTAAACTTAAAACATATATATATATATATATATATATATATATATAATGATCATGTTGGTTCAG